TGTGAGACTACATTAAACCTTGACTCAAACAAACCCACCATAGAATAAACTTTTAAACTACTGGGAAAATTTGATTGTGGAGTGGGTATCAGATGATGCTCAAGAATTTTTGTAATAATGGCAAAGTGATTAAGAAAATACCCATATTTTTCGGACACACACACTAAAGTAAGGGAAAATTGACATGATATCTCAATTTGCTCTAAAATACTTCAGCAAAAAAAGGGGGGAGCAGGTGAAGCAAATGTGGCAAGACACTGACAACTGGCAGGTCTAGGAAATGAGAATTTGTGGGTTCACTGTGTTATAATCTGTACATATCTTTGTGCATTTAAAAAATGTCTCTTCAATCTCCGAGGCCACGAGGCAGGCAACCTCCCACCACGCCCAACCACAACTGCGCAGTCAGACTGCTTCACAAAGCAGAACCCCAGGGTCTGGGCCCTCAGGATCCCACATTCCTGATCCCACATTCCTGATGTGAACGGAACCATGGCAGACACGCCCCCCCCAACATGCTGACCTCGGCAGGAGCTGCGGCCACCACCACCACGAACACTCCCCTCTCCCACCTGGCAAGCTCCCTCCTCCCTCAGGCCTAGCGAAGATGCTCCCTCCTCTGCAGTCTCCCTGAACCCCGGCCCCAGGGTATAACCCTCCCACCTGTGCCTCGACCTGGATCCCCAAGTACTGGATTATTCGTTCATGTCCGCCTAGTCGTCTAGACTGGAAGCTCCTTGAAGGCACAGTCCTAGCGTAGCGTAAGCGCGCTGTCAGCCATGGCAGGCAGCATGACCAAAGAGGCAGACAGCCAAGACATTTTCAGAGAATCCGAAGTACTGTATTTTGCTGTGTATAATGCTCACTTTTTGGTCCAAAGTTCTAAGGGGAAAATAAGGATGCACATGATACATGGGTACCACTAATTCTGTATCTGTAAAACTGCTTTTAATTATTTTCTTTATGTTTATGCGTTAAAAGTGTAACTTTAGAAAGCAATGATGATATCTCTATGCAAAATAATACCCTGGAATATGGTAACTGGTTTTGTTTCTAAATGTAAAGTAAAAAAAATAATTGAATTAAGAAATTAAAATGAAAGATTTTCTTCCTGAACGTCTGGGCCAAAATCATGAGTGCACATTATACATGGCAAAATACGGTAGTTCAAAGATGCCAGCATACCAAGTGGGGCAGAGGAAGCGATGGTTGGTGTGGAGTGAAGAAGCCTATCACCATCACACAACAGCCAAGAGGTCCATTCAGATATAAAAAAGAGCCCTGGCTGGTGTGGTTCAGTGGACTGAGCACTGGCCTACAAACCAAAAGGTCACCAGTTCAATTCCCAGTCACGGCACTCGCCTGGGGTGTAGGCAAGGTCCCTGGTTGGAGGTACGTGAGATGCAGCTGATCAGTGTTTCTCTACCTCCCTTCCCCTTTCTCTAAAAGCAATTAAAAAAAAGAGAGAGAGAGCCAGGAAGGCACTCAGTGGTTTTGGAGCAGGGTTGAATGAGAGGCCTGCTAGGGAACAAGCTCCTCCTGCAGCCGATTTCCCACGCAGGGTTTCCTGGCTTTTCTCCCCGGCCCTGGGACGTTGGTGAGCTTCACTTAGCTGGGATCTGCCTTCGGCGGGAGTGCGTTCCCGTCTGCGTCCACAACACAGGGAAGATGAGTGGGACACATTCTGTGGCAATGAGGACCTGTGTCCTCCAGGAGTGCCTGGGACTAGGTAGATACCCTGCCTCACCGAGGGCAAGTGAGCAGCAGGGCCATTTGGCCACAGGTTAAAACCAACCTTCTTCAATCATTTTAACTGGTCATTTTAACTGGTAATAAAGTGACGCTCCGAGCTCGTTATGCCTCAGGTTAAGGAAGCAGTAATATATAGTCTAAACAATGCATGTGGAATCTTTAGCATATAGTAAGTCCTTACTTATTGTAAGCTGCTTCTGTGGCAACTGGAGGCAAGAAAGTCAAGACGACACTGCAAGAAGAGGAACAGTGTGACCTGCAGTGCGACAGCGGGGTGAACGAGGGAGCGTGGGGCTTTGTGAGGGAAGAATGGCCCGGGCGTGGCGCCGGGGAGTGTCAGGAATTCCAGTTTCCAAGCTGAAAAGCCCTTTCTGGTGGGAGCTGCCACCCAGAGAAGGAGAGAGCCGCAATCAGGGGCAGTGAGGAGCAGACGTGGCGGCATCAGCTCATGAGTCTGCACCCATGAGGAGGAGGAGGGAGGGAGGGACACCTGGGAAAGGGCAGTCTACAGACACCGAACCCTGAGGTTCAGAGCAGGCAGGAGAAAATTCCATGGATATTAAAGACAAGAGGACGCAGTGAGAATACACAGGGGCTTGTGATGGTATTCCAGATGAATACGCTTTAGAAATGTTCATAGTAACAACTTTCAAAAGGTCAATTTTTCAAAAAAGGTAAGGGGATGAGAAGTAAAGGAGACCTTCTGCAGCGACTTCTACTGTCCACCCACCTCCACCCAAGGCTGCAACTTGACCCACATCCGCTGTGAGGCTGGGGAGGAAGAGCAGATCACTCGGGTAGGTGAGCCCAGCTGCATCCACCAGAGCTGTGCGACAGCCCACTCGGACCCACCAACACCAGCAGAAAACAAAGCTTTTGTGACAGTTTTCAAGGGGGAACCTCAAAAAAACACCTTCACATTTACAACTCTGGGAATTCATCCTGGTCTCCAATAGGATACCCCTTATCACACTGTCATTCTGGGAGACGAAGAATCACACGGGGAGTAGGGGTGGGAGAGAAGTGGCAGTTAAATTCCGATGGGAGTCTACAGGGCAGACATGACTTATAAGGAAAAACCCTTGAATTTCAGAGTAGGAAAAGCCATGTCATCCCCAGGCCTCAAATACAGGGCTGCAACCACTGACACTCCGAACCCTGTGCCTCTAAGGCAGGGAGGGTCACAGGACAACCTGCCACTGTCCCTGAGGCTGCAATGCAATCCTTTGGGACAGTCACAGAAATACGAGAAAAGAACTCATTTCTGGAAGTGGCCAATGCCACCTGGCCTTGTGTTTGACACAACGATGGCAGACCGGAGGTCCACCCAAAAGGCCTCTACCGCCGCCTGGGACACTGCAGCACCCCCACCCCCCAGGAAGCCCGTACCTCCGCCAGCTCGCTGAAACTTCTGGTGGCGCTCCCTTTCTTCCTCCTGCACGGCTCTCCCCCAGCGACCCTGCCGTCCCCTCTGGGACAGCTGTGCACAGCGAAAACTCCCGTCTGCCCTGGGGTCTGGCAGGACAGAGGCTCACTGATTTCTGAATCAGAAGAAACAGAATCCCGGGATGAACTGGAGCCCAGGCTGGAAGATGATTTCTTTTTGGAATCTGAGAAGACAAGGCGCCCCCCTATAGAGGCGGGATTCACAGAAAGATCCAAGGCAGCTGATTCTTGTTCCTCTTCCTCCTCCTCCTCCTCTTCCTCCTCCTCCAGTTTGACATTTTTAAGCTCTTCAAATTTGACTTCCGTGGAGTCGGGGTAATCTGAAAAACAAATATACGTTGGACACAGCTGTCTTTCTCCCGCATGTCTGAACTCCGTGAGAGGCAGAGTGGCAAAGCACAAAGAACGTGGGCAGTGAGTGAGGCCCGTCCTTGACTTCTGGCTGTCACCTACAGGGTCCCTGTGTGATGAGGGGCTAACGGCTTATCCTCTCCGGGACTCCACTTTGGCCGGAGCCCAGGAGGGAGGGACCCCACCCTCAGGGTCCCAGTCTCTCAGCAGGTCAGACGAGTACTGTCACTGCAGAGATTCTCCCAGCCCGACTGGGGACTGACACATGCCTTTCCCCAACCAATCTCCCCTCAACAACCGAGTGGCTGCTCTAGAGAACACTCTGACCACATGCCTAAAACACAAATAAACGGCTTCTCGCGCCTGCGAGTGAGCAAACCTAAGAAGGCCGGCAGCGCCTATGTCACCTCCCCTCTTTCTCTAGTCTCATCTCCTGGCAACACACCTGTCTTCTACCCGTCCGCCCCCACGCTGAAGTCGCAGGAAATCACTACCAGCTCCCCAAAGAACTTGTGTCCTTTCGCGTCTCCATGCCTTTGCCCCTGCTACCCCTCTCAGGATGGCCCTTCTACATCCCCCACTCTGTCTGCCCACAAAATTCCTACTGCTCTTGTAAGAGTGGGTCCACTGTCACTTCGAAGCCTTCAGCGTTCCCTGGCCCCTCACCAGGCGAAGGGCGGGGCCCTGCGTTCCCCACCCACCCTGTGTGCTCCTCACACTCAGACCTGTCTCTCCGCTTCTGCTGGTTTTCACCCTGCACTGAAGACGGCGCTGGACACAGAACAGAACGCTGTTAGGGCTGAGCGGAAAGACGCCAGTCAACTGACCTGGGAAGGCGAGGCCGTCCTCCACCTGCCGCACGGAGCTGTGGGTGGGCCTCACGGGAGCAAGGGCAGCCTGGCACTCCGCCAGGTCGTACTCTCCGGGGCTCAGCTCCTCCTTGGGGAAGAGCTCGCTCTGACTGACCTCCTGTGGTATTTCCAGGCAAACTCGGTGCCTCTTTGTCCCTATTCGGTGCTTGGCTAGGCTGCAAGGAGGACAGGAAGCTTTTTAGGACCCCCATGTACACCCGCTTACACAAATGTATCCACACACAACCCGAAGGGAGTTAGCCAGACAGAGCCTGTCGGGCCTGGTTCACAGTTCTGTGCCACCTCTTATCTGTGGGACCTGAGACAAAGGACTTCGCCTCTGAGCTGTTCCGGCAAATGGAAATAGGGGTAGCACCACCCATTTTCAGACTTGATATGAGGCCCACAGAACCTCAGAAAGCGCCTGGCATAAAGTAGGTACCCCATAAATGTCTCTCCTTTCTTCCCCAAGGGCCCAAGGATAAACAGTCCCTAGGGGACAGATCCCCAGCTCAGACCCTGACAAGGCTGGCCAGCATCTGTACTCATAGCCTTGCTCTTGTGAGTCTCATTCCCGCTACCACACCCTCCTTTTTATTTAAAATTATGAAATGCTTCACGAACACGCATGACATCCTTGTGCAAGGACCATGCTAATTTGTGTGCTGCTCCAATTTTAGTGTATGTGCTACGAAGGGAGCACCACACTCTCCTTTGTTTTTAAAAACTCTCATAGCCCTGGCTGGTGTGGCTCAGTTGGATGGAACATCACCCCACAGGCCGAAAGGTCACTGGTTCCATTCCTGGTCAGGGCACATACCGAGGTTGAGGGTTTGATCCCTGCTGGGGGTGCATATGAGAAGACAACCAATCAATGTTTCTCTTTGTCTCTCCCCCAGACCTTTCTCTCTCTAAAAACAATTTTAAAATATGTCCTTGGGTGAAGATGAAACAAATAAAACAAATTTAAGAAAAACTCTCACATGATGACAAGAAAATGTGACTTTCCTGGCCCCGAGGGAGCCGTGCGCAGAGGTGGGTGACCCCCTCGCTCCAGCAGACCACAGTCTCACCAACGGGTGCTATGGTTCCCGGGTAGCGGCCACCAGAGGCTCTCAACGCCCTCACTCCGAGGGTTCTGGAGCCTTTTACCCAGAAGAAAACCCCTCGGCAGTGACGTATACACCCCACTTGGACACAGCCGCTCAGCCAGTGACGGGAGCTGCCCAGACAACCCCTTCCTCCAACTGCGGGGTCCCCGGGGCTGCGGCATTACCTTCTCTTCAGGTCGCCCTCCTCTCCATCCTCAACCCCTTCCATGTCCTCCGGGCATTCCTCCTCACTCGACGCTCTTGGGGGCAGTTCACTCTCCTTAAGAAACTCGGCAGCTTCTGGTGTGGGCAGAGTATGGTCGATGACCGTGCTGTCCTTCCCAGCTTTCCAGAGTTTGTACCTTTCCGGCTGGAACTTCCTCACGAACACATCCATGGAGATCTTCACCATGTCCTTCCTACAGGAGCACTGCAGCAAATAAGCAGAAGGGCTCCAGGTGAGCACACTGGAACTGCTTCCGCCTGACCCCCAGAGCCATCTCCTCCCTTGTGGTGGAAAGTGTATAGTGTTTGGGTCCACAGGCTGAAGGCGTGCTGTCCTCGCAGAGCCTTCGGACATGGAGGGAAGCAGGGAAATGCATGGTGCTGGGTGAGTCCCCAGGGCACTCACAGGACATGCGGAGAACACTTAGAGAGGAAGCTGTGCATTTACACCTGGGGTGGTCAACCCCTGCCTTCCCCGACACCCACCCAAGCCTGCACCGTACAAACCAGTGCCTGCACCGTACAAACCAGTGTACTCCTGACCACAGGTCCAGCCCTGCGGCTTCCCTGAAGTAAAAGTAAACCCCTAAGATTTCTCAACAGAGAAATCCCAGAGTGGCTAAAGCAAGAAGTATCAGCGCATGTGGGTGTGGTTTCAACACCCATGGACACCTCACTTTATACATTCTGAATCTGAACAAATTTTCAATGCAGAAGAGCTGCTGGGCACCTCTGTACGTTCCTGGCCACTTGGCTTCTGAATTCCAGAAGTTCAAAGAAACGTTCTCCTCACCAGCCAGTGCAGGAGGCATGATGGGACGGAGAGGAGCCAGCAGACTCACCAGCACTGCTTGTTTGCCATACTCAATCCACCGGCGGGTGGCAAAATTGGTGGACTCCGCACAGTTGAAGCCATGGTTGAAGCCCGCATGGTAGCCGTAAGGGAAAGTGATCATGAACTCTCCAGCCTCCTGAGTCACCTGAACAAGAGCAGACGTGAAGCAGCTGCATCAAACCGCAGAAAGAAGCCCACAGAATCTGAGCTCCAGCTCTGCCTCAACTTGGCTAAATAACCAAGGGCAGGTCAAACATCGCTGGGGTCTTGGTGTCTTCTATAAAATGCAAAGCCCTCTTGGTGTCTTCTATAAAATGCAAAGCCCTAACACAGCAGATGCCCTGACTATAGTAACCATTTGCCCAAGGAGCACTGTTTGGGGGGACTTGACTTTCCTTTGGGACCATCAGGAAAGTATGGTGGCCCCACCTTAATCCCCTGAGATCAAAGTGTTGTACAGGTTAGCTTTGGCCCGCACCTGGCAGAGTGATGACCTAGAATAAAGCTCCTCTGTGAAACACAGAGCAGAAAGGGTGCTTTCAGTGCGAGACCAAGGACTCCCATATGTACAATCAGCTCACCTTGTCAAAGGGAATTCCATACTTCTTCAGCATTAAGGGGGAAATCAAGGTCATCTTGTGGCGGAGAAAAGCCTCACAGCTTTGAGCACTTCCTGGGAAAAAGCCTGTTTGATTGAAAAGAGGCCCCAGTTAACACTGCTCCCCGGCAGCTCTGCATCCCCAGTGTCCCTCTCTCTACACCTGGGCACCTCATCTGGGCGGTAACAAGCATAACCACCAATGTGAGCTCTGTGAACCCTCCTGGCTTCAGAACAAGTCTTGCGGGTCTGCAGCGAGCCTCTGTGTTCTCTCAGGCAGGCTGTTACACAGGTAATCAATCCAGTTCAGTCTGGGGAACAGAGATGACCCCAGCAGCCTCTTCTCTTGTAAAGAGCTTTGAAAGTACTTAGCACTGTTCCCCATTCACCTGGAGCCTCGGTCTCTTGTTAGTAACCACCTACCACAGAAGAGACTACCCGAGCTCTCTTGAAATGGGCTCTCTAGAGGACTAAACCTATCAAAAGTTACTTAAAAGAATCAAAGCACAAAATAATTCAATTTTGACTTTAACATCTCAGTTTCTGGCAAAAGAATCGAACCCACTATGACTGGTATACTATCTCTGGTCAAGCCTGTACTTGATAAAACTGAGGCAAAGACAGTGTAAGAACGAATTACTAAATCCCATCTTAGCATAAAGTGGGGAAAGGCTCTGATTTTAGATGCCTGGTTAAGGATAACCCATCTGGCAGTCTTGCTTACTCCCACCTGCAGGCCTGAGTAAAAACACTGGAGAATCTGACCACAGAGAATGGACGCTTTAGAGCAAGGAACGCAGCTTGTCAGGGGGTCTGCCCAGCTAAGGAGACACAGTACCTTTGGCAAGGCGCTCCAACCGCTTCCCGTGCTCCGGCGGAACCGAGTACCTGCAACCACACGAAAGCATTAGATGCTGAGCAGGGGACGGTACGGGAGCTAAGGGGCTCGCTCGCACTCTCAAAACACCTCAAGGTGTGGAGATTTTTCAACGTCCCAACTATAAAAATGAGAAAGGAATCTGGAGAGATGAAATATTAGATAGTTTGAGAGTGGAGAGCCCACACAGAAACGCGAGTGAATTTATTTCTTTTACATTCATCCATTAACAAGACATGTGCTGAACATGTACCATGAGCTCAGGTACACACTCAACGCTGCCCTCCTTCATAATGTCATTAATTGAATGAAATGGAAGGACAGTATTCGAGTGCTCCTTGGCAGAGCCTGACAGGCCTCACTGGGAGGGGACAAGGGAAGAACGAAAAACAAGGGTGAAGTGCATTAGACACTCGGAGACCTGGCCCGTCTGCCACCGAACCTGGCTTCCTTTCCTCTCCAGCTGCACTAATCACGCAGTAATTATTCCTTCGCCCACATTACCTCGACATCAGACATTGCTCTTCATAAAAAGACCGAAAAAACCATGTAAGACTTTTTAGAACTTTCGCAAAACTGATAAACTTTACATGGCAAAGCTCACAGGAAGTCTGTTTTCACCTTCATAATCAAGTCTGAAGTTTATTCCACAACAGAAACTTCCCATCCCAAACAGCTTCCTTATGTGACAAAACAGACAAGGCGCTGAGGGAACATCGGTCACCTAAAGGACTCTGGTCGGCCTTACACAGAAAGCTCTGGAGGCCCCACTCAGACGACCTGAGGAGTGAACAATGTCAAAACCTCAGACGCGGTCCTCTACACGAGGACAAATCCAGTGCCACAGAACTTTGGAATAAATCTGATGAAGACACAGAAGCAACATCTACAGATTCTAAAAGTCAGGCCAACTAAGGAAGGTCATGAAACAGTAGTTAGAGGGTGATCACAGGCTCAAAACATTTTTGCCCCGAGATTGGAAACTGGAAAGTGCTTGAAAGAGCAAAGGAAAACCCTGGGAAGGGATGTGGCTCGAGATGCTGGAAAAGGAAATGAAGATGCACACAGCTTCCATGGCACCCCTGACCTGGCCTCCTCACTCACTCACATCCTTGTGCACGACCCCAGACAACGGCGAACTTCCTCTAGATCACGGATGACAACGTGCTCTCAGTTTGGAACCCTTGCGTGCATTTCCCAGCCATTTAGACACACTTCCCTCAGCTTTCCCTCTCCTGAACCCACCACCACCCCACTCAGAACCTTTTCCGTATTTGTGTGGTCTCAGCGTAACTGTCACCTCTTCAAGCACCGTGCTCTCTAATCCCTGCCCCTCGTGTCCCCTTTCCCCGTGGACCTGCAGCACCCACCATCTTCCACCAGAGCTCTCCTCACACCATTATTTTCTCACACTTTGCACCTCCCGTCTGTGTGAGGCTAGGTCGGTCCCTCATCCGTCTTATTAACTGCTGTTGAGCAAAGCACCCTCACTGAATGCTGAGACTGAGCGATGGGTCAGCACGGGGGAGAAGGGAGGACAAATCTTTGTCTCCCCAACCAGACTGAAAACATCCTGGAGGGCAGGAAGCATGTGCCGAGTAACCTTGCACCCCCTCTTGTGTTAAGCACACACTGCTGCTCACCAAATATTTTTTCCATGAGGACATGGAGGCTTTCTATCAGCTGAAGGAGTGACTCCAGTCTTGGAAGTCTGCCTCTAAGAATGCCTCAGGCCTGCTCAGAAAAAGAAATTAGAAAGCAGTAGGATAGCCTGGAATAGCCCCTGTGGCTCAGTCACTCAGCCAACCTAATGCTTCCATATGCCGGTATTAAGTGCCCTGCCTTCTAAAGCCAGCTACACAAAAGGCAGTCTGAGCATTGGAACCCCAGCAGCACTGCCATCACTTCCAAGTCTGTTTACAGTGTGAGACGCCAATCCTGCCCCAGGCCTACAGAACCAGAGTCCGCATGTTAACAAGATCTGGAGGCGTTTCCTAGGCACATGAGAACGGAGAAGCCATGCTCCATCCTGAGAAGCGCCCATGCCAACTGCAGGCCCACTTTACCAGGACTTTGG